TGAGGACATAAGCTGTCACCGTCCCGAGAGATGCTTCCAGGGAGCCAGCGTCTTCATAACGTGGAGTCTCCCAGGCATGTCAGGACTGCCAGGCATCTGGGTGTGTGCTGAGCCCCCTTCTCAGAGCCTGATGAGGACCTGGGGCCTCCACAGAGGAGAGGCTACACTCATATTGGACTGAGACAAGGAACCAGGCCAACCCTGTGATTAGCTCATTGTCTACCCCACGGTGCCTGTTAGGGCTTCTTCCACATTTCAGTGTGTTCATAGCGACCCTAGTTTTCCAAGACTGAATCCTTATAGGAGCAGACAGCCTCTTCTTTCCCTCATGGAAGGGTTGGTGGGTTTGAACTCCAAGCTTGTGGTTAGCAGCCCAACACTGCATCTCCGGGGCCCCTTATACAAGAGGGGCAATCGTGTAAAACAGCTTGGCCCTTTGGGGCACTCACCAGAGTCCTCCTTCAAGAAGCCCCACCCTTGTCTGGGCATAGGGACCTCCCAAGAGGCAGACCTCAGAGCAGGGTCAAGCTTCCCCGTGCAGGGGAGGCAATAATACCCTGCCCTGGGTCAGGCACACCACACACCTCGCGGGCCATCTTCCCTCGGGAGAGTGAGAAATAGACCCACAGAGGTCAGAGAGGAAATAGGTGGGAAGCTAATGGATGGCTAGATATGTCACAGGCAGTTATAGATGATGGATGGATAATGGGTAGATTTTAAGAAGCTGTCCAGTCTACTGTGGTTTGGGTGCACGTGGACAGAGCACATTGATTTTTCCATTCAGCAATTAAACGTTTTGTTTCCTGACACGGGTTGGTTGCACTCTCTGCCCGAAGCCACAGCACTCATCCTACGCGCTGGGGGGCCTCCCCAAGTCCATTCGCCCATCTCACCCGCTCTGCTCTGCCTCTAGAGCTATATTGGGGGCAATGGCTGCCCTTTCAGTCTCCCAGGGGTGATTGTGAGCTTGCTACCGGCTGGAGGTCTCACTTGATTAGGCGAGGCCCACCAGTTAGGAGGGCGAGCTCCCTGGGGTACGGCCAACCAGACACTGCAGCACTGCAATCGGCTTGGGGGAGTACCAGCTGCAGCGCACTATGCGCGCACCGGGCCTCCCTCGTTGGCACCTGTGGTCCACGTGCCCACGTGCGTGCGGCGGGGTGGGGCTGCGCCGCAGGCTCCTCCTCCTCCTCCTCCTCCTCCTTGGAGGGTAGACCAGCCGCGCTGCTCCAGCAGCCCAGAGTCAGACGTAGGCTGTCTTTGTCCCTGAAGCCCAGGCCAGAGGGCAGACTCCGGCTGGCAGAGGTGAGTCCAGGATCCGTGGTGGGGTGGGTGCGCGGCTGCTGGGCGGCTGGGACGACACCCTGCGGTGGCGTTGAAGTTGGACGGTGCAGTGGGGGCCCCAGGGCCCAGTACGTGAGGGCTTGGCTGGTCAGCACAGAAGGGTGGCCCCGGTGCTCGCAGAGCAGCCGCGGAAGGAGGGCCCGGTGATCCAGCCCCTGCACCCTTCCGCCATCCGGGGCACCCTGAGCGGGGCTGGTGCGGTTTGCTCCGTGGGACCCGCAGTGGTGCTCAGGGCCCTTGGTGCCTGTGGGGGTGCGCCGAGGGCACACTCCTCACGGGGGGCCTGTCCGGCCGGCTGTCCAGCATGCGTTTTGTCCCCACTTGGAAGGCAGCCAGAGGGCGCCATCTCCTAGCGCCACCTCTCCCTGCCAGACCAGTGAGCCTGCTCGCCTGTGTGCCGTGGAGTTTCCGTCCACATTTTCCTCCCACTCTATCTGGGACCGCTTGCGACCCCGATCCTGGTTTGGGGTTTTTATAGTGTGTGCGCCAGTGTTTTCAGGCTGCCCCTCGGCACCGAGGGTG